TAAAAGAAAAAAGAGAGGAAAGGTAGACAAAACATCAATCGTCCACATGGATGTGCGCCCTCCACTTTGCTCTCTCCAAAGCCATACTCTCATCCAACCCAAGAAGACGCATATCAGTTCTGATTACTCTAATCCAAGTCTGTTTGGGTCTTCCCCTCCCTCTCTTCTCTGACTCTTCTCCCCACCCCTCAAGTCGTCTAACAGGTGCATCACTCGGTCTTCTATGCACATGCCCAAACCAACGCAAACGAGACTCCTGCATCTTATCTTCTATAGGTGCTACTCCCACCTTTTGTCTGATTACCTCATTCCTCAGACGGTCTTTTCTGGTATGTCCACACATCCAACGCAACATACGCATCTCTGTCACACTCATCTTTTGAATGTGGCATTGCTTCACCGCCCAACACTCTACGCCATACATTAATGCCGGCCTAATTGCTGTACGATAAAATTTACCTTTCAATTTAGTCGGCATACTTCGATCGCATAGAAATCCTGAAGCACTTTTCCATTTCATCCACCCAGCTCCGATTCTATGACATACATCTCCATCTAATTCACCATCCTTCTGAATTATGGATCCCAAGTAACGGAACATATCACACACCGGTATCTCCTTACCATCAAGAGTAATCCCACTGTTGCTACTGCTTCTACCTCCACCAAACTTGCACTCCATATACTCTGTCTTGCTTTGGCTCAATTTGAAACCCTTGCTCTCCAATGTTTGTCGTCATACTTCCAACTTTGCTTTAACACCGGATTGTGTCTCATTTGTCCCTTATTGCTTGTTTCACCTCATCATTCCACTAAGATGTGTCCTTTTTTGGTGGCAGACATCCTTTAGATTCTCCGAGTATCTCCTTCGCCACTTTGTTAATGGTGGACTCCATTGGTAACCACACATCATCCACGTGTGCGTCATTATCAATAGACCAAACATCTTCCTCCAACATTTTGTGTGCAAAACTTTGTTGGAGATTCCCCTCGAGCCTCCACCATTTTATCTTTGGCTCCCCTTGTACCTTAACTCGTCCACTCTTTTTACCTCGAAAATCAAGCACAAGCATCCTATGCTGGGTGACAGCACTCTCACCTGGGATAACCTTACAATCAGTGTAGCTAGTTCTCCAAGTCGTCCGTACTAAAAAGTAGTCAATTTGGGTACTATTAGCTCCACTTCTATAGGTGACAAGGTGAGAGTCTCTTTTCTTGAACCAAGTGTTCATCACAGCCAACTCATATGTCGAGGCAAAATCCAGAATGTTCTTCCCTGCTTCATTTCTAGTGCCAAAACCATGTCCGCCATGGACACTCTCAAAACCATCACGACTTGGGCCCACATGCCCGTTGAGGTCGCCTCCTATGACCAGTTTCTCTCCCCTTGGCACTCGTCGCACCACTTCCTCAAGATCTTCCCAAAATTGTTGAGTGATAGATGCATCCAATCCCACTTGGGGTGCATAGGCACTAACCACGAACACAATCTCATCCCCTATTATCAACTTAATGCTCATGATGCGATCGTTCTTCCTAAACACTTCAACCACACCGTCAACATAATCATGTGCCACCATAATGCCTACTCCATTTCTGTTCCTCTCTCTCCCCGAGTACCAAAGCTTAAAACCTCCGGGATTAATCTCGCGTGCCTTTTCTCCAACCCACTTAGTTTCTTGCATGCACATTATGCTGATATTTCTCCTCTTCATAACTTCGGCTATCTCAGATGATCTTCCCGTAAGAGAGCCAACATTCCATGTCCCAAAGCGCAATCAAACACCCTGCCTTCTCTTCTTCACCCCACATCGACCCCCACCATGCCCTTGCATATTTGACACCATCCCCGGGCACTGGAGTGGCGCATCGCTTCCGGGCGACGACCTAGCAGCCTTAGCATTCTTATCACCACACCCAGGCCTATGAAGTGTAGCGCGCCCTTGCCCATTTGACACCACCCCCAGGCGGAGGGATGACACATCGCTTAATAGAGTGCTACTATGCTTCTAAAATTATTTTTAACAATAAGACAAAGAGAGCACACGCTCAATTGTGGTGAAATTGTTATGGACATACCAATGTATGTGTTCAATTGGTCATACAGAACTCAAATATGGAGTATATAACAAAGGTTTGAAAGGTTGAATAGTGCTTTTTCTCCAAATATTCTGAATTTTTTATTACGCAAAAATGACAACCTGACTTTGAGTCCTTATGCCCAAATGACAGATGAGAGGTAAAACCTTAAATCGAAACAAGGCCGGATATTGGAACGTTGGAACACTTCTGAACCTTTTAACTTGCCATAAATAAGATGTATTGTAGTTATTGGCTAGCAATGAACATTACTGATAGGAACCTCAACAAACGTAGCAGAAATTGATGATTTACTGATTATGAAATCTGTCGATTACAACTGAGAATGAAAGAAACGGAAATAAAGAAGAAAACAGATCGAGACAGTTCGAGTCATCTCACACTCCCAAGGCCAATTCCAGATCCAATTTCTGCCTAACTCCCATCTTCTCCCCTTCCCATTCTTATAGTAATTATATATCCTAACGGCCCAGCCCATATTTTATGACATGGCCCGGGATCCTTACTTATACACTATCACACTTATTTAATATACTTCTATTATTATTAGTATTATTATACTAATGGGTTCCTATCATATCTCCCCCCTTAGACAACCACCTTGTCCTCAAGGTGGGTGATAGGAACCGGCTTGGACTTTCAGCTTTACTTTCATCTTTGCGCTTCTTCCTTCCCAGTCCCTCACTGCTTTCTGGAATAGGAGCTTCATTACTTGAACCTTCTCTGTCATTTGCTCAGCCCCATATTTCTCTAAGATTCTCACAGCTTCTTCATGCATCCCATTATTGCCATGAGTTTGGAGCTTTTCCAGCTGGGCAAGTCCTTCACATCCCAGGTCAGATGGTGGGGTTGGCTTGCATCTATAGGAGTTTGACAAAAACCAGGTTGTGGCTTCAACAGCAAGCTTTCCCAAAGCCCAAACAACAGCCTGATCACAAACATCATCATCAGGGAGTGAATTGAGAAATTGTATGAACATAGTAACATCATCCTTCAGCAGGGCAGTAGCACTCTCTACAACTCTGGGCTCACCAGACAGCATATCCTGTGCAATTTGAGAAAAACACCATGGGCTTAACAGGACCCTCTTGCCTTGGGGTGTTAGTTTTACAAATTCCCCAGCACCATCTATGTCTAAGTGTTTAGCCACCCTATTGTGCAATATGGATAATTCTGCCTCACCAAACTGAGGTGGAGTAAGAACTGGCACTCGGGTAGCGTACGCCCATCTATTTTACTCAATCTCGTTAAGCCTCTTGCAACTGGTCATCCCTGAAGTCCAGCACTTAGTGGTCCAATCAATTTCCCTCTTCGACCATAGCCTTCCACTAGCATCTATCTCAACTGGTCCTGCTTGTACACACTCCTTGTTCACATACATCCATTCCGTCCATGGTTTCCTAATTGCAGTTGTAGCTATTAAATTCGACTGCCAAGGTATAGCAGTTCCTTCTGATGCTTCCTGAACTATAAAGTTTTCAGAAATCACCTGGTTCTCCAATTCAGAACCAACAATTTTGTCAACAGCTGACTCATATTCCAGGGAAGTCAAGAATTGATTCGCCACAGCAGATTTCTCCTCTTGTCCTTCATCTTTACCTATGAATGTATCCTCAGAGAGAGGTTTACGTGGATTGACAGACTCCTGTGACTCGGACAGCAAGGGCGAACTGGAAGCTCCTCCTTCTGATCGCGTTGTACCTTGAAGTGAGCTGCTGGTGTATGACGAAGTCTGCGAACCTGGAGATACGGCTTGCGTAGAAGATTGCAAACTGGAAGTAGATATAGGTAAGGAAACCTGTGAACCGGTAGAAACTGTTTGCGACTGCGATTGCAAAGAAATTCCCGATTGTGAACTATGAGATGACGTCCGCGAAGAAGCCAGATAACTCGAAGGAAGTGCTCGCGACAGAGAATAGACCTGCGCAGTTCGCGACAATCTGGGAGAAATAGCTGGCATCTGCGAACTGAAGGACGTTGTTGTCGACCGCAATCGCGACCTCTCTCTGGATCGAAGCTGTTCATTCATCACGGCCATGGGTGCCGCTAAGTTTGCCGCCAAATTTTCCATTGCAGTACGCCGATCATCCACCGATGATCGTAACATCTCTTGTACCTCGGACAGTTTCCCCTTCATCTCTGTCAAATTCCGTTCCAGAGTATCCATGCGAAACTCCATTTTCGCTCTTGTTCTTACCATCCACTACAGAACGTAAGTGTTGCTGAGGTCGCCAATCAATTCCGATCACCAAGAGCTAGTGCTCTGATACCAATGATAGGAACCTCAACAAACGCAGCAGAAATTGATGATTTACTGATTATGAAATCTGTCAATTACAACTGAGAATGAAAGAAACAGAAATAAAGAAGAAAACAGACCGAGACAGTTCGAGTCGTCTCACACTCCGAAGGCAAATTCCAGATCCAAATTCTGCCTAACTCCCATCTTCTCCCCTTTCCATTCTTATATTAATTAAATATCTTAACGGCCCAGCCCATATTTTATGACATGGCCCGGGATCCTTACTTATACACTACCACACTTATTTAATATACTTCTATTATTATTAGTATTATTATACTAATGGGTTCCTATCAATTACACATGAACACTTTTTACACTGATATATATTAGGAGAAATGCATGAAGTGTTTTTTCTCAACAGTCCAACAATTCCTATGAAGCTTTGTCACTAATGCTTAAGCTTCTTCCACCATAGTTTCTCCAGTAAAACATCAGGGAGACAACTAAGAGAAGAAATTACATTCAGCTCAGCAAAATACAATGTGAAACTTCCTTAAGCACAAAAATAAAAAAATAAAAAGTAAAGAAAGAAGCTAGTGTTCCAAAAAACATAATTATTATTATAAGAAAACTAGTCTGCAGTGAGTTGAAATACCTCAGTTTGGTCAGCCAAGATCACAAGTATAGCATCAGACAGTGGATTTACAGTTACCCAATTTCCATCCCTGAGAACTTGAAGCCCAGCAACATCATCTTGGATGAGAAGAGTAATGGTGCCCATATCTGAGTGTGATTGCAAACCAAGAGTAAGCTCCGGTTGTGGGCAGGGAGGGTAGTAACTGAAAGTAATGTTTTGATGCAATTCCCCAACTGCATCTTTGATGCAAGAACAAGGCAGGCCTAGACTCTTGGAGATCAACTCTAGAAGTCTCTCAGCGAGGACTTTCATACAATCGGCATACTGTCCAACAACTCCTCTGATAAAACTTATAATTGTTAGGCAGTTGATTTATTCCACAACAAGTTCTTATGTGATTGTTGAAAAACATTTCAAAATGCATTGAATCCAAGAATGAGGATACCCTACTTAAGCAGAGGAATAAGGAGCCTATGAATAATAATGTAGCTATCAAAATTCGTCCCTCTATCAATTCCCCCAACAATTACTATAACAAATTCAAACAGCAATGAACGAAATGATTTGCAGTAATTGGGTCAGTCTCTGAACGACCAAAATTTGTAGAAATCTATATCCAAGAAACGCAGAAGCGAGGCACACCTGTAATCGGAAGGAAAGTGAGGCCAGCCAGATGGATTGCGACGAGATAGAGGAAACGTGTGGTGATCAAAGTAATCCCTCCAGTCCAAAACGGTGTCGCTAGGAGTAACCAACATTCGGCTGCCATAGCCCTCAGAAGCAGGAAATTTGGGATCGCAGGAGTACCTCATCTTCTCTTTCATGGGATAGTCCTGGAAGAAAGAACGGCCGACGCGCCTAGCATCATCAAGCAATTCGACAGGGACTCCATGGTTTACAACGTGAAAGGCTCCCCATTCTTTGCAAACCTGCCGGACTTCGCCTAGGAGGAGCTCAGTCGGCGAGCTAAGGTTGATCGTCGGGACCGGATGCACGGAGTCATCGGCGTTGACTCGAGGCCTGTTACAGGGTGGTTGTACGTATACCGGCGGCACAAAAGCTTCACCTTTTTGAGCTAATGATTGAACTCTTTCAGTTTGATTCGCATCCGCCATTCGTAGATTACTGCTGTTGTCAGCAGTTTGGGGATTCAGTTCTGCGAACAGACCGTTCAGCCTTACGATAAGGATCCTCTGCGGCTCTGCCAGTCTGCTGTGCGTGCCCCTGGAAACGGCGTCGTTTTAACTATGGGTTTGTTTGGCACATTGGCAATACCCGGCTGGCCAGTTTAGGGGTGCGCAATCAAACCAAACGTTCTTTTGGGGCATTCTATTGAGCATCTTCTATCCTTCTCCGTAAATGCTGAGGCCAAACAACCATTTATTTACAAAGGGAAATCTCTGCTTTTTGCAACGTTTTGGCTGAAATCGCCAAGAAACAAACGGCCCCTATGTCAAACAAAGCTAGTGGTGGATCCACAAACAATAAACATATATTACTCTAAATGTCACCCCTCACTTGTCTAAAATGTCGTAAATGTGGTCCTTTTGAGGAGTGAAATATACAATGTGGCCGAGAATACATTTCACCACTTAAAGGACCACATTTACAACAATTTGAACAATTTCTGACATTTACAATCTCATAAATACAAGTCTGAGATTTTAATTTCGTGAATAACTGAGGGACTATATACGCGATTTTCCCTAACTACTCCGAACAATCCAACACCATTGAATTTCTCGTCATGATCAAGCAGGTTAACAATACCATTTGTTTCTTCCTCTTCTTCTTTATTATGATCTCCAGAAGGTAATCTAAGGTCTATATCCATATTCACAACACACTACTGGTTGGCTTTTACGTATATAACATAATAATATAGTATTATTAGAGACCTCATATGCACGCAAACAAAAAACAAATAACATAAGTGTTATTGGAGCAACTACATCAAAAGTCTTCTTAAGAAACTGGCATGGAACCAAGAAAATCCAAATGCTGCCAACGGGGGGGTTAGTCGTGTTTATTACAACTGGAAAATAGTTTATATTGTGTGCGAGGATAGTTCAATTGGAATTCATACTATATAGGTATAGAATAGGATAACTCACTTGATTTAAAACACTGTTTCTAAAGTAGCTGTATGATGGTTGTGCATGTGATAAATGGTTACATTATATTTGTTCATGTAAGTGTGTGTGCAGATGTCCTTTGAAATAATAAACATAAATGTTTACATAATCATAGATATAAAAACAGCACCCCAGACATCACTGAAACTGAGGCTACTATTATGATGAGACAATGACAGCCCTCTTAACACTCTTAGCTTATAAAATGAATAACTTTCTTGCATCAAGGGGAAAATGCTTTAGTTCAAGTGTAATATAAAAGTGGTTCTAATTCTTGAAACTATGTTTGGCCACTCAACTAACAAGCCAGTCTACACATTGATACAATTATGGCATTTCACATTTGTACGTTTATACTCCAAATCAATAGTTCCCAACACCAGAACAGCACAAATGTGCTTGTTTTTATTACCTCTCAACTTGTAAAAGGGAACATGGAAGCTCGGGCTGACAAGCTGGATAGAAACTTAAAAACCAGCTATGTTTTTTGAAACATACTCAATATGCCACATTTTACAAATCTTACTTTTTCGTCCCATAAATATTCTCATTATCTTTATATTTTTTCCTACTTCACTACCTTTTTGGATTTAAAATTTGAACGATGTGGTAACTTTTTATAAAAACTGTCTAAACTATAGTAGATGGAATTAGACCCCCAATAAATATCATTTGAATCCTCAACTTGAGAGCGTACATGTACCAACCCAACATTTGCTGTACACACCCTATTTTTAACAGAACAAGTAGATGCAATCAGGCAAATAGAAAGTTTACTGATATTCACTCCTTTTTTTTAAAGAATAACAAATCATGAGGTTCCAGTACACTCAAAATCTCAAAAGATAATCCATGATTCTACATACCAATATACCACTAAAACACAGTTTTTTTTTAATAAACCACTAAAACACAGTTATTAACTAGAAGATTCTTCTGGCAAGGTATAAAAAGGTATAAATATGTATTCTCTAACCAGGATTTATGGTTATTAATAATTAGATAGATAGGATAATCTGTGACAATTCACCAGTAATCACAACATGAGCATTTCCCATTTTCGAACCGATGAAATCTGCTTCCATCTCTAAAAACGATTTGCCTTTCCGTAACCATGGCTATCAATTTGATCACACTGTGACAATCGTTGCATATTCTATGGTTCTGAACAAGTTGCAATGGTGTACCACTTGGGGTGTTTATAAGCCCAAAGGAAAGAGCCAACTTTTCGCTGTGATAGAAAAGTGACTTTTGGTCATGTTCATCCACATCAGGAAGCAGAGTCTTTCCCTTGGGAGCATATCCATGTTTCGAGATCTCGAGCATAAGATTGTCAAGATTCTCATATATATCCTTCATTTGGACATGATATTTGTCTGAAGAAATAAAAACCTCTTGCTTCTTTTTTATCTCTATCCAAGTGCAAGCAGGCATAAGAGTCAAACCTTTTCCTTTAAGTGTTTGAACAACTTCTGCAGCTTCTTCATGCTTCCCCAATTTATTGTAAATGTTGAGAAGGACTACATAATTGCCAAGCTTCTTAGGTTCCATTCCGTAAAGTTGCTCGGCTGCTAATTTCCCCAGAACAAAATTCTTGTGGATCCTACATGCGGTCAATAAGGCAGCCCACATGTTCAACGTGGGCCTAAAAGGAGCGTCTCTTATCAATGAGAGTGCTTCATCCAAATTACCTTCTCGCCCCAATAGTTCAATCATGCATACATAGTGCATTGCCTTAGGCCTCACTTTATAGTCTCTATGCATAGAGTTGAATATCTCCCATCCACTGTCTGTCAGGCCTGAATAGCTACAAGAAGATAGAACGGCTAGAAAGGTGACATGGTTGGGAGACATTCCTTCAAGAACCATTTTTTCAAATAATTGAACTGCTTCCACCCCCCTCCCGTGGCTACCATATCCAGCTATTAAGGCATTCCAGGATATGACGTTCTTTTTGGGCATTCTGTTGAACACAGTCTGTGCATCTTCTATCCTTCCCCATTTGCAGTAGAAATCAACAAGAGTTGTATTGGCAACTATGTCTAAAACAAAGCCATGACGGACTAGCCCAGCGTGGGCTTGTTTTGCATGCTCTATTGAAGCTAACCTTGTGCACACTCTTACAATGATTGAGAATGTAATATTGTTCATCTGAACCCCAGCTTCTTGCATTTCATAGTAGAGACTTAAAGCTTCTTCACTATATCCATGAAGGGCATAACCAGAAATGATGGTGTTCCATGCAACTACTGTCTTCACTGGCATTACATCAAAGATAAACTGAGTGTCTTCAATGCTTCCACACTTGTTGTACATGTCCATTAAGGAACATGATATATATACATCATCACGAAGACCACACTTCAATGCACAACCATGCAATTGTTGGCCTGGAGAAATAAGCTCCAAACCTGCGGCTGCTCGGATCATCGGGGTAAGCATCCTCGGCCCGACATCTGAGTAGTCCAGCTTGCTCATGAATAGCCGGAAAGCACCAATGTAATCATGTGAGGCTACTAGCCCTTCAATCATTGTGCACCAAGAGACATCGTTTTTCAATGGCATTTCATAGAATAGGTACCGCGCTTCATGCACCATCCCACATTTAGCATGCATTAGCAACACCCTGTTCCTCATATACAGGTCGGGTTCAAAGCCTGAATGGACAATGTAGTTGTATAGCCGCTTAACACCTCTAATGGATTTCAACTGAATACAAGCGTTGATCAATGCATCAAAGGTATCTTTACCAATATCATAATCACCTTGACGATCTAAAATATTAAAGAATTCGAGAGCTTCGCGATACCTTTTGTGCAGAACCAGCTTCTTAATCTCCGCACATATGCTAGGGATCATATCCACCTTTGGAGTTGTGCCCTCCATGCGAATTTCTTCACTCAAAGCATCCTTCTTCATCGTCTTCTTCTCACTCTGCTTCTCTTCAGAGGGTTTGGCCATGGGACGGGGTTTAACCAACCCGGACAGCAAAAGCGAGCATTTGACCCGGGAAAGTGTGCTCCGGTGCTTCTTACCCCCGTTCAAAAAGAAACACGTAGAAATTCGGAACTTTTTAGAACCCCCCGGTGAACGAGCATACAGGCAGCCACTCTGAATGCGATCGAGAGGCAGAGCGAAATCCATGGCCGGGAAAAGAACGGTAAATCGAGGAAGGAACAATACCTGCTAAGCCCAGGATGTAATTATAAACATCGGCGACTTCCACCAATCACAGTCAATTCTAGTGAGACTGGAAGCGTGAAAGCCGCCAGGGTATTGGATAGAAATGCCACGCTAGGATCAGTAACCGGAGCAGCAAAATGCGCAGCTTTACTCTCTCGCCGGCGGCATCGGATCTGTCAATTTGACAGTTATAAATGCTTGAGTTGTTGGGAAACATCAGAAGGTGTTGTCTACTTGTCTACGGATTCAGGGCGGGGAAGCATTGGAGAATCCGCTCTCCTCTGTTTTTAACTAAAGTTACGGCATGGTCCCTTAATCGCATTTTTATATTCAGTTTTGACCCCATACCTTTCTGAAAAATGAAAACATCCCTAATATATTTTTGTAAAGAACCTTAGGACTTAACAAAATGAGCCACCCTGGTCCCTGTGACCCGCAAGAATCACCGAATATTACCCACCATAACCTAGTTAGATAGTACTATTTGAAATAGTTATAACTCAAATTTATATAAAATTTATCTTCGAATAATTATAAGAAAATGATAAGCCAGTCACAATATACATTGATGTATACACTTAGTACGTGGTATAATAAATGAATATATAAAATATTAAATATAAAAAAGACACTAAAATTAACTGTTTATTTACTTCAAGTGTAAATATTATGGAGTAATACTTCGTATATCACAAGATCAAGGATTTTTTTATTTATTACACACACATGTCCATGTGATTTTTTATCAAGGAGTTTAGTCGTGATGAGTCAGTATGAGTCAATATTAATATTCATACACATCCCATCACGTGTATGGGACAGATCGAATCAAACTCAATCCATTTGACCAGATTTGCTCAAATATATCGAGACAAAGCGAGTCTTTATGGGTTAATTTTTTACATGCCTAAATGCCTAATCTTGACACATTTTGAACATTTAAAGTGGATTCA